GCCAACCAACACGGTCTTTGCGGGGGGGGGGGGTCTTCTCTTCTCATGAGATGGCCAAAGTATTGGAGCCTCAGCTTCAGGATCTGTCTTTCCAGTGACCACTCAGGGCTGATTTCTCATGTTTGGTCTTCCTCTTTTCCTCCTGCCTTCAACTATTCCTAGTATTATTTTCTTTTATAGCTAGTCATCTTTTCCCATTTATGTATCTGGAAAGAATTCAGGCTTGATTTGATCTGGGGCTCACTTATTTGTCTTCCTATAAGTCTATGGTATCCACAAAGCCCTCCTCCAGCAACATATTTTGAAGAATTTTTCATCTGTTGGCTTTCTTCATTGTCCATTTGTGAAATTACACACTATTAAATACTGCATATCTACACCAAGATCATTTGAAAGATAAATGCTATTGCAAACCTTTTACATTATATCTATAGGTATAACTACTACTGAGTGCAAAATCAAAGCCATTGCTTAGGGCAGAATATGCATTTGGAATGGGGCAATGTCATATGAACAATGGTGAATAATTTTAACATGGTATCATATTTGTTTATTCTATATTTTAAACTTGACTTTTTCTGTGAATTCCATTTGGTTAACACTTGGAGGGGGAATGAAGCTCAGGCAGTTGTTTTTTGTCATCCAGTATTGTATGCATTACTGAAATAAAACTTCATTTATTGTGGCTACTTTCTCTGACAAAAGGAACGCAGAGAGGAAAAAGAGGTTGAAATATGCTTTCAGTGGAAACACCTGATCTGCATGACTACATCAACACAGGAGCTCAGCAACACAGTTTGAAAGAAACTTGTGTTTTTGTATGACATAAAGAAACACCTTTCTTTCTTGGAAAAGATAAGTGAAAACACTGGATTTGTCTGGGCGTGTATCAGTTGGCTTTTTTTCTACTGTCTTCTCATGCCTCTCTTATCTGAGGTTGGACCATCGTGGATTTTAGTATTCTGTTTCATGAATTATGGCACTGGTCCCAGAAGTGCTTTCAGTGTACAAAGCTACTTATCCTCTCTGGAGCATTTTACTAAATACCATATTTGCCCGTATACAAGACGACTTTTTGGGCCCAAAAAACATGCCTCCAAGGGAGGGGGTCTTGTATGCCGGGTGCACTGAATTGACGTGGGGCCGCGCTGGCCGGGGAGGAAGGCAGGCAGGCAGTTGGTCTGGATGGAGGGAGGGAAGCACAGCCTGCCATGCCTGAGCGGCCAGAGCCTGCCGCCGGGCTGCCCGCCATGCTGCTGAGCCAGCCGCGTGCTCGCTTGCCTGCCACCCTGCCCGTTTCCCTTTTCCTCTTCTGCCGCCTCCCACTCAGCCTCTTCCACTCTTCCTCGCCCTCTTGCTGCCATGCCTGAGCTGCTGCCGGGCTGCCTGCTGCCCCACGCCGCTGAGCCCGCCACCCGCTCGCTCGCCACCTGCCCGTTTCCCCTCTTCCTTCTCCTGTTGGGGGGGTCGTCTTATACGGCCGGTCACCTTGTGCGCCAGCAAATACGGTAATAACAAATAATGTGCACTGCATAATGAAGTAAAGGATGCTGGAATTTTAGAGATGTGATCAAATTGAGGCTCCAGTCTGGGTATTAAGAATGTGTTCTGCCCCAGCATATTTGCCTGTGGAGCATCCATATCTGGAATACAGTGCTGCCTCGCAAAACAAATTTAATTCATTCTGTGAGAATCGTCATCTTGTGAAAAATTCA